CGTTTGGCGTCAGATCGGCGGGTTTGTGATCGCACTTGCGGCCGCGGTCTTGTTCGGTATTTCGATGTATATGGGACTGCCGGCCCGCCGCGAGTAGGTGTTTTTGTGCTCCTGTACAACCCAATGTATCTGTAATAGCAGAGCAGATTTGGTTCCGTTTCCTAACTCCGAGAGGGTCTGCCGTGGGAAGGGTGCAAATCGTCACGCTCGGGCCGGTCGGATCAGACGGCGCGATTGGCCAAACGATTCCTGGGGTTTTACGGTGCGCGGTGCTTCAACCGTCTCCGGTTTGTTTGTCATAATACATCCTTTCATGTCAGAAGAGTATCGTATCACGCAGGGTTTTCGAGACGCCGCAAACCTGCACTGACGCCGAACTGACGCAGTCACGGCCCGAGTCTCACGTGGCCGTCACACACGACGCGATTTATCGAGCAATCCTAGGCAATCCTATATTTGTTATCAGGCCAAGGGAGCGGGCACGGATATATATGGCAACGGGAGAGAATGATTAGGCAGACCAGCATCCCAGGTACCAACAATATGGCAGTGCAAGTTGATCGAATGATGACGATGAGGAACTTTGAAATGCGGCGGTGTGGCTGATTGGGATCCTCCGGAAGTACATCCAGGTTGACACGCAGCGATTCGAATCACGGCCAGGGACAAGGTTTGCAGGGAGGCTTGAGCGACAACAGTGCAACCACCAGCAGTGTAGATAACGAGGACCAGGTAGCTCGATCCCGTGAAAACGGACGGCATTCCCTGGAGAGCATGCAACATAGGGATCGATATCATGTGGGGGAAATTGACATAGGTATATGGGTATGGAGAGCGCACGAAGAGTTACAGGGCTCATCTGAAAGTCTGGTGTCAATACGGTACAGTCAGGAGAGGGAAAGAGCGAGGAGAGACATGGGGAGTGCATGGGAAGTGACAAAAACGGAAATTTCTGGGGAAAAGAACGAAAATCATAAGAGCATGTAAGAGCATGACGTCATGACATGTTAATCGTGATTTCGCAGTGAACGCCAGGGACCTTCGGATTCTGCAAACACACGCTGTGAACCGCTAACCAATCCTCGAGATTTTCCCACGGAGCTTGATGGTGTTCGTGCTACAGTCGGACGTAGCATCCAATTCAACCCCACGGAACTGGCACACCTCCCTTGAATGGCTTCTCCCTTTCGTTCCTCGTTCCTTGCGGAGTGAGTGAAGGAGGTCGATCAACTCTCCGATCGTCAGGGCCGAATTCAGTGTTACGTTAACCACCCCCAAAACGGGATTATCGAACGTGATTTGGAGTCTGGTATCCCGCGGGGCACCTTCGACGACTGGGGAGTTCATCGCTTCGGAAGGAATGGGTGTGGCGGTGCCGCGCTCAGAGACGATGCAAGCCCTGCGCGGGTCTTCGGAGACGTCGTAAAGGACCTTGGAAGGAGAGTGCGGTTCAACGAGGGGGTTTATCCGTGGCGTAGGGACCAACAGGGTCGGGCTTGTTGGACCGGGAGAATTACGATTGCTCGGGCTCGGGAAATTTAGGCTAGGTGGGATGTTGGGAAGTGGAGAAGGAAAAGGCAGGGGTGAACGACGTGTGATTTGACTGGACAGCATGGGGGAAAAAGTTTGGGAGGCAGCATAGTGGGATGGATGATTGGAATGAGGAACACCGCGGTGAACTGAACGAGGACTACCAGAGTGGACTGAATGAGGAACACCATGATGGACTGGATACGAAGCACCATGATGGACTGAATGACTGGGGTGAGGGACCCCATGGTGGACTGGATAGTCAGGATGATGGGCGCCACGGTGGGCTGGATAGTTGGGATAAGGAGCGCCGCGGACGCAGTGGACAACGCTGATCGACGACCCACAAATGATGATAGTCGACATTGTAGAGCGAGGAGCTTAGTTGGGAGTTGGCTGGGGGGGGGGTGTGGATGACTAGAAATACAGCGAGGTGCCTCGTGTTATATATCTGCGACAATAGCAAGGGGCGCCCAAGTTCACTTGGGGCGGGAAACATATTATGGCCAAGATGTGGATTCAAGATCAGTAATCCCCAGGGGCAGGAACGAATGGTAATCGAGGACCTCCTGAGTCTCGATTGCCCAAAGCGTTGAGATTGTTCCACCGAAGCAGTGATATTAGGGTTCACGAGGCGTTCCTTTGGCACGTCCGACATAGTGGGAAGAAACTCCGCGGAGAACTCAGATGTCCCAAGGACCCTCGGCAGGCCGGAACGAGTCGTCCCTGCAGGGCTGAGGAAGGGCCGGCATAGACCGAGGCATTGAGCTCCGACAACACGGCGTTGGTGGCTGTGGGGAGCTGTGGGGATGGTTTGGTGGTCTCAGAATGGACGGCAGAATCCGTCCGTTCTTCGGCTTAAATTGTTAGAAGTGGTTTTGTTGGACTTGGTAAAGATGTTCCGCAGTTAATTATGCAAACACACCATTTTGGGTAAGTGAGTAAGTGTTGGATCCGATCTGTTTGTGGCTGCGGGTAACAATCACTAGCCATCAACAAATCAAAGAAAGTCCGACATACCGTCTCCTGACTAAATAGACTCCTCCCAAGCCCGGTTCTCCTCGAGTCGGGACGGCCTCCGGCAGATTCGGTGGTAGGATCCAGTCTTATGCCTAGACTGAGGTCCCGCCACACTTTTAACGACCTGTTAGCCGTGAAAACCATGATATGTCAAGTTCAAGAATCTCAAAACGCTAGGGCATGAACTAAAGCGGGGAAACGGACGAACAATGATGCCGGGGTGTTTTACGTGCCGACGACGGGCTGGAGGGCTGTCCGCGCCACATTGTGCGAAAGGAGCGTTTTTGCGCCCACCGTATAGGCTGGAATCCAGCCTCACATTCAGAGCGAGGGTGTATGGCTCTACCACCGTAGGATCCTAGGTTGCGATCGTTGGCGGGTGGAATCCTGTCCGTTTGCATGGGCTGGGAGATTCCGGTGCTGACTATTGTCTTCCGCCTCATACCTCCTGGGCTGCTACCCTGGGCGGTCATTATGATATTGAGCTCAATTGAATCGTACCGCCACATTGAACACATGCCCTCCGTCGGGTTCATCGCTTCGCGCAAGGTGGCACGTAAGTTACACCAGCGTCTGGTGGGTTTTTTTTAGTGATGAACACTTCGATATCGTCGTGGCTGTCATTATTCATCATAATTGTGTTGCTGAGTGGGGACTGGCAGGCTGGAATCCAGACTCGAATTCAGAGGCGAGGAGGACGCGGTTTAGAAGGGAACGATACCTAGGGGGACCCCGACGCCTCTGAACGGGATTGGTACCAATCCGCGCGGTGAAAGCAATGCCACCGTGGGTAATCTATCGGCATTTCGTTAACGAAGCTATCATCCGAAATCGGGTCACGAACTTTAGAGCACAGCCGGTGCTTTTAGATCAGGCGCAGCTAGTCCTAGCTAGTCCTCACTCCATAGCTGCCCTGCCTCTCCTTCGAGCTTGCCGTGGGTGGGGAGGGTCAGCAACTTTGTGGACGGATATTGTGTTCACCTTTTCAAAAGCCCATAACGTAGGCTCGGATATCGCAATTCTTCACATGGAAAATTCGCGGTTGTGTCTCTGGTTCCGATGACGATGGTACCAGATGATGGACGATTGATAAGAGACGGAATAAAGCACCCTAGAAATCGATTCCCTAATTCGGAAGTAGGCTAAGTAGGATGCGTGGCGTACTTATGATGTGACGATATGTAGTCGCAGCTCACGCTCCTCTTCCCTTACCCCACAACGGTGACTGTCCAACTAGTAATTCAGTGATCCTCGCATACGTTTTCCCCAGTAAGTAAGGATTTCCTTTCTCTGACCTTGATCCATCTCACACTAGTCGCGCAAAGGCAGCTTAGTCAGTTGCCCGAGTACCACCCGTGTTAATTATATTGATCCTGAACCGAATACTTGCTGTCGGAATGTCTTACCACCCGTGCTATTGCTTCCATTGGAGCCCTTCCAAATCTCATACAACCATCTCCGGCCCGATAACTTTGCTTTTGCTGAAATACCATACGTCATCCACTTTTTCGATGGATTGGAAACCACCCTCTTCAAGTCAATCAGTGCTGTGGAGTTCTTAAACCTCCTCCGTAACACCGCCCGAACCCAGGAGGCCCTCTAAGGGCTTCGAACAAGTTCCTGCAGCGCCACACACCGGCCGCACCCAACAGCCGACTTTTCTCACTAGAAGTCCTCGATCTTCATTCAGCCTCCGACGTAACGATAATCGTGAACCCAACTCACCTTGAAGTGGGATAAACTTGCGACTGGGGGCGGATGAGCGCAGTTACGGTTTCAAAAAGCCTGAATGAAAACCGGTTGTGGACTACGGCGATGCCTCAACTGAGGAACAGGCCTCCGGGGCAAAATTGAAAAGCCTTCAATCGCTAACACGGTCCTAATAGCTAACATCCATCAGCGAGATTTCGGACAGCTTTTCTGTCTGTGGCTACGTAGTCGTGTGCTATACGTCATGATAAAATCATTGGTGCAGGATCCTTTCCGTCCTTGCTTGTACCAGAAATTTCATGGGTCATTCATCTGGCTTAGTTGCGATAGCTGGGCTTGCACGTTTTTTCTACAGAGCGACGTATCTCAGTTGCAGAATTTTGGGCAGTCTCTGGTTAGGATACCCAAACGTGAGCTCATCTTGAGGCGGACCAGTCTTATCGTCAAAGTCCTCTTCACCACGACGTCATCACTGCATCATTTTTCGTATATGCTTCCAGTTCTAGTGTACATACTTGAATATGTAAAACTGCCCAACCAGATGCCGGTCAGATTCCCTCAACGGAAATACGTCCCCCCCCCCCCAAGGCTTTTTAGGTATCGAGACCCTTCAGATCATCAGCCACCGCGTAAGTGTTAGTGGCCCGTCAGCAGAGGTGGCAAAAAGCCCGCCCGGTAGGTGGCATCAGCAGCGGCGGACTGTAAAACAGAGGTCGCATCGGAAAACATGAGAAAAAAAATGGAGACGGCGAAGATCGAATTCGCGACCTCACGCAGATCAAACCTGCTTTGCGCTTGATGCGAAGCGCGCGCTCTACCAACTGAGCTACGTCCCCTTGATGTAAAAGTGACGTCTGAAAGATAAGGCCCTATGAGGCCACCGGAGAGATTCACCTCGGGCCAGGTGGCAAACTCGTAGTGTTACAAGGTCCTAATACACGCCTCTATTCATTAAAGTATTCGGCCTGACGCAGAATTCCCTCTCCACGGTTTTTCGGCGCCTTCACGACCAAGTCCGCTTGTTGTCTGTGCCGGAATGAGGTGGGGGAGGCAGATAATTCTCAGAGAACTCACAGTCTCATCCTCAATAGTAGCTTCCTGTTAGTCGCTTGCATCTCTTTTCCAGACCGTAGCGCGCGAACAAATAATTCCGATCGAGGGTCCGTTTCCTTCGCTTTTAGAATCTACACAATGATCAATCAGGCTGCGTACTAACGTTGGGCGCCGTCACCCACCTTGTTCTGGCTATCGACTCTCCCGCGGATCTCTCCAGCTTGGATCAGATTAACCACCTGCTCTTCCACTTGCTGGACGGTCCAACCAAATGCAGTTGCCATTCTCTCAAGTTTAATTGACGAGAAAGGCTGGAAGTACAAGACCAATGCACGACTCTTAATGAGGCCGGTGAGGTTCTTAACGTGGTGTCCGAAATGAACATCGATAACATGTCGCGTCTATGGATCACTGACATGAGCGTTCTGATTCAGAGCGACAAACGCATTGCCTACCGAATATCTTTCGAGGAGTTCCAGAACAGTATTGAATTTGCTTGCCATGTACGCTTCCACAAGCTCTCTTACGTGTGGTTCGTACTCGATGTATATTGAGAATAACTCATTCTCCAGCAGTTGCGATTTGATGGCTGAACGTGAGAGGCTCGCAAGCGCACACAGTGTCCCGGCGATACCAATGTCTCCGGGTGAGATGAGCTGTTTGAATTTGAATGTGAGAACGAGTCAGGGGAGGAAAATCGTACCTTCCCAATCCAGTCACCTAGTTCCTTGGCGGGCCCGAGCTTCAGGAAAAGTTTCGCCGCCTTCTCGTAGTTCCCCTGCCCAAGGTGAGAAATGGCGCTTGCAAAATCAAGCCTTGTTTGCCATTTGGCCCTTTCTTGGCTTTTCTTTCCTGGCCCTGCGCCCGCGGTAGCGGAAGTTGAAATTGCTGATGCAGCGTTTGATGCAGCATCGAGCGCGGTGTCGGCCTTGAAGACGTAGGTAGAGATGTGAGAGTAGTTGCCTTGCAGAATAAGAAGCTAGATCCAATTGTTTGAGAACGCTGTGAATAGGAATTCGTGTAAGAGAAGATCCAACCTCCAAGACTGCAATGCACATATCAACAACATGTTGGCTAGTTGTGCACGATTCACGAATCTTTGTGAAGTGTTTGAGAGCACTGGTGTAATCCCCGACGGATAGGAAAAATTGACCGAGATCTCGGTGAGCCATCTAGGTCGACCTATCGTCAGTGAACAGTGAGCTTCTACTCTGATTGGCGACAGACTCGTATGCTCTCTTTGATCATATTGCTCGTGTATGTTTTCAACTCCACCTCAAGCCTTGTCCTTTCCGAAAGATTCTTCGATGTCCATTCATCGTACCATGCTTGATCTAGAGGCGCGACTTCTGCTGCAGGGGGAAGTTGCGCATTTGCTGCTATCACATCATAGGCACCAGTGGCGCTCCGATACAGATCGACGTCTCGGGTCTTGAAGATGTGCTGTACAGCGAGTTGTAGAGCCGGGACCGCTAGTGCTGGACATAAGCCGATGATGTACACAAGACGATCCACGGCCGTCCTGCCTGTTCTCCGTTATCAGTCGCTGTAACTGGTGTCCAAGGATGGTCGTACCTGTGTAACTTGACGAGTAAGCCTCGATGTCAAATGGGTGATTGTCATCGACCAGAACAATTGGCGTCGGAATGCCCCTGGTCGCCCCCCTCAGGTTTTGGCTGGTGTCTTCGTCGACGTCCATCGTGTGAAGATGAGTAATCACGTGAGCAGAGCGCGTCTTTCACTCAAACCGCGTGTTCAAGTTGGTGTTCAACATTCCCCACGCCCCCTCACTATGACTATTGACACGAGCTACGTCGGCCGCTATGGCACACTCAGCCTCATGAAAAAGGATGGCTCGAATATCCCCATTGCACATTACCCTATCGATGACGAAGAAATTACTATTGGGCGAGACCCGAACTGCAGCGTTCGGTTATACTACGACGCGATCAACAAACTACACTGTAAAGTGACCTTCGAGGACACCAAGGTACGAGCTCGAATGGTGGTGTATGAAACCTTACTGAACCGTCTCAGGCATTCCTAACCGTCTACGGGACTTCTGGCCTTGTGGCGGATGGCTTTCCTCTTTTTCCAACCGCTACTGGCCCAACAACCGTACCACTTGGCAACAACACAGAAATCGAAATCCACCACAAGAGGTTCATCTTCACCTACCCTCCTAAAGACCTTCGGGCCATGATTCTGGCCACCCCGGAACCTGATCGAAATGTCGAGGGGAGAAAGACTCTGCGGATGTCCATGATCGCCAGCGCGATGGTTTTCACCCCAAGACCGAGCCAAGATCCTCGGGAAAATCTCCGCACCCTTCAGAGTCCGCTCAAGCCAACTTACTCCAGCCCTCTCAAGCCAGCCCACGAGGAAGAACCGGAGGAGGATATCGTTCTGGTCGAGACCAATCATCCTAACGTAGTCCAAGACGACGAAGACAACCTCGTCATCCTGGAAAGCGTGCAGGCGTCGATGCCCCTGGAAAGCCCCAGACGGTTCGTGCAGTTCTCACCACAACCAAACCAGTACCAGACTCCCCGCCGGGATCTGCGGCATTCCCTCCATCGAACTGCTCTCCTTCGGTCCGCCCAGCGAACTGTTATGAAGGTCGAAATCGAAGAGGAGCAAGAGGAGATGGAAGTTGAGGATGTGGTCACGGAGTTGGAAGAAACCAACCTGCACGACGATGTTCCCGAAGAGGTACGAACTCGATCGGTGCATCCTTGTCCGAACTAACGTCAATCACAGGATGACGACGAAGATGATGCTATGGAAGAGGATATCTCAACGGAGGAGATCGACGAACGGCTGGAAGAGGAACTGACGGGTCGGGAACAAGGCCATACTCTCCGGCCGCTTGGTCCCTTCATGACGCCCCAACCGTCCGCCGTACGGGCCTCGAGCGTCCTCAGTCACCAATCAGGGCTTTCTGTCCAGGGCCCTCAGCGCATCCGTATCCTGCAGCCCTGGAAAGTGAAGGACATCGTGGTTCCCTCGACATCGACAACTAGCGTGAAGAAGGAAGACCCAGAACCAAAGGAACGAGTTTCTGAGGAAGAGAGGAGCGTGAGTGCATTCGCCTTGCATCATTTGCACTGGATTGATCTTCTGTTGTATTAACAGGCTATAAGAGCGAGGCGGAAGTCCGCACTTATGATGACAGATCCCGCCGACTCACAAATACCTGGCTCCAGACGCATGTCGACAATTCTACGGCTTCCTACCACCGCTCCCTCGGTCCCCTCACCCTCCAAGAAACCCTTCATCAAGCAAGATCCCAATCCGCCAGAAGAAGAGGAAGATACGGAGGTGCTTCTCGAAAGGGTCAAAGCAAAGATCGAGGATCTCAAGCGTCGACAAAGCATTGGACTTGGCCCCCCTCCATTGGAACGCCAACGGTCTCAGAGTCCGACTAAACAAGATGCTGAGGCGTTGTTCTGGGGATCTGATCGCGTCACCAGCACGAGGATCGATCAATTTGGCAACAAGGGCGATGACGATATCGGTCATTCCTATCCGCAGAGTGAAAGCGAGGACATAGATGACGATGAAGAAGCCGAGGAACAGGAAGTCATCCGACAGACGACCCCGGTCAGGTCCTGGAATCCGACAACAACAAAACCTCCTCCAAAAACCCCGAAGATGGACGGACTGAAGGGGTTGTTTGCGGGCCAAAAGGCGGTACAATCAACGCCTGCCATGGGCGGCATCAAACAGTTATTCAACGAACCTGTCAAGTCTCATACTCCAGTCTATGTTGGAGTTAAGGACATGTTCAAGACCACCGCTCCCCCAGTTGTGCCAGACACTTCGGTTCTTGAAGGGGTGAGAGACTTACTGAACCCCGCCGTTGATCATCGCGAGCCACAATCGCCCCAGGAGCCTACAGAAGTATCGATGGGGACCACCACAGCCGCAGAAGACGTTATACCTGGAACCAAAGCGGCCGCCGCAGTTCGTAAAAGGGAGGCCGCAGCTGGAGCGAAGAAACCAGTTGTGGAGTTACTGCAACTCACAACTGACACCACACAGCCACTGAGATTAGGGAGACCGAAGAAAGCGCTCAAGGTAGAATTAATCCGACAGTTCCGCTTTATCCCAACATTGATCAGTCATCACAGGAGGCTGTTTCGTTGCCGAGACCCTCTCGAACTAAGAAGGCCACTGATGGGGCCGTAAGCTCTCCAATTCTGAACGTTCTGGGCGTCACCCTGACTTGATTTTGCGGTTCGTAGGGCCCTAGCAAGCCGGTCCCTAGCTCTGAACCCGCTCGGAGAACGCGAGCGGCCACAGCCGAGGCTGAGGAACAATCCCAACCATCACAAACTACCGACAATGCCGACAAGAAAGTCGTGCGCCGGACCCGGAGGACACCGGATGTCCCTCCGAATCCACCTTCAACCCGGGTGACCCGTGGGCGAACCACACCCACGCCCACAGAAGAAACTGAGACCACCGCAACTACCAAGAAACCGAGCTCCTCGTCGAACTCGAGAGCGACCCCCAGGAGGGGAACACGGAGCACTCCCGTCCCCAGTGACGATCAGCTCGAGCCTGCTCCAGCTCTCAAAAAGTCTACTCGAGGGAAACGTGTCGAGACTATCAAGGAAGAGGAAGATGAATCCACTGTTCCATCCCAGACCACCGCGCAGAATGGGACGCTGACGGAGAAGTCCCAGCTTCCAGCACGCTCGCGCACTACTTTGACAGAGAAAGTGCCTCCCACCGAGAAGGAGAATGACCCGAGCGATTCCGGTGACAATTCTCAGAG